CGCTGCAGCTACAATCCCAACCCTAGGTCAGTTCTAATTAGCGAAAGAGCCAGGGCCTGGGAGAGCAGATAGGGGATGAAGCCTGTTTGATTCGGAGATTTGGCTGATTTGGCGGCGGCCAAATCGATTTGAGACAGTGATTCAAATCACTAAATTGAATCACTGTCCCCTGAATTGGCTGAATAACTCCAAAGCAAATACTAGCCACTTCACACAGGGCTATTGGCTAAGAAAAAAGGAGACTAGGACTAAGATGTAACTAGTTGTATAATACATCTGCACAAGGGGCCTGAAATAGCACTGTACTGGGAGCCTTAATTCTGGCACTTCCTAACTTCCAAATTCTCCACTTTGCATCCTTAAAAACATTCTTTTTATATTTTTGGTGTTTCACATATAAACATTTTATGTGCATATATATGCACACACATACACACTTAAATGTAGTGATGCCCATACTGTACCCTTAAACTCCTCTGCTTGAACATGATTATTGTCCGTTCTGACAGAGATGCCATACGCCATACGATTATGATCTGTAATGAGATGGGGGGGAAAAGAATTCAGACAATGAACACACTTTTTTTCCATAGTCGCCTCATGAGATTTCATGCATTGCTTTTAAACCTGATTATAAAGAATAGACTGACCTTGCCTGATGGACCAGATGCTAAGCTAGAACTCAGGAGACCTGACACTTTCTTTCTCTCTTCATCACAAGCCATCTCTTCATCTCTGTGCCTCAACTTCTCCAAATGGAGATATTTTTAAAAGAATGTTTTCCTCTTTTGTAAATTACTCATGGAACTACTGATAAAGAGTGCTATATTGGACCTAGGAATTTGTAAGTAAATGAGATTAGCTTTTAAATCCATATACATGGATAGTGTCCTTCACAATCTACAGTGTACAATACAGCAGAGCATCACTTTTTCTTCTTACATGCATTTCTTACTGTAATCAGGCCTGCTCTTTTATAAGAACAAATAGCATTATATACTCCAAAAGCAGGATTATGCCTGTTAGTGCATAAACTCTCTGAACAAAGGACCTTTATCTTTTACTAGAGAACTGCCCATCAAAAATGACGGATGAATTTCAAACAATAAAATGAACAGATAGATTTTACTTTTTATATTTATTTAATAAATATTTATATAATTTAAATAAAATAGGCTGAAGATTTGAAGATACCAGTCCCTTCCTGCACTTGCTCTTGTCCAGTGGACTGAAGGTAGACCTGCCCATGCTGCTGTCCGGCTGCCGCCTGCATGCCTCTTTGCTGGGCAAGGGCAAGGGCAAGGGCAAGGTCCACACTTTGCAACAGCTTCTCACGCCCCGGGACTTACTCCACACCGCCCCTGAGCGCCTCCTTCCCTGCTTGGGGTTTGGGACGGGTCTGCTGCTGCTCACCTACTGCCTTGTGCCTCTGCCCGCCTCCCACTTTTCCTCAGATAGCCCCTCCCTCTGCCTTTCCCACTGCACCGGGCTACCAGTGCCCTCCTGGGATGAGCTCAGTAGAAACAGCTCTGGCCCCTGACTTTTTTCCCCCAGTTCTGAAAATTGGGATCATCCTGATATGGTCATTAAACAAAAGCTAAGGTTTAGGAAAGACATTTCTCTGAAGACACAAATGTTCTCTCTTATAGTTTTCAAGCTATTCTCATCTAAAGAGTGTTACAGACAGACAGACAGACAGACAGACAGACACACACACACACACACACACACACACACACACAGATGGACTAAGCCTTTTATTTATATATAGATTCTCAACTTAATGCACTTTATTGTTTCACATATGCTTTTTGTCTCATACAAGTTCTTGGACATCTCTCGGGAATTCAATACGGCAGCTACAAAGATAATGCAGCCACTCATTTCACAGTAAAAACTCAGGTAGCACCCATCCTCAAATTATCACACAAAATGTCGACACTAGATCTTCTGGACAAGACCTACCTGTTTGTGGAGGCATTTGCAATGCCTAGCACAACAGAACCTTGAACTCAAACTGGAGTGTTAAAGCACTATTGCAGTACAATTACAATAACTACCACCCAAGTCCAAACCATGCTAAACCATAAACATATGAAGCCACAACCACAGTTAGATGCTGTTGTTTCAATGCAGTTATTAAAATAGTTTTGTTTGCATTTTGCAGATATAGGACAACATTTTCAAATGGCTTCTCCTATGGGTCTGGAGTACTTTTGAAAAACAGGATCCAGTAGTCAGTGTATTTTCATGGACTTTCTCCCCCATTCACCTTGAAACATATAATCACCTTTCCTTGAAACACACTTTTTTTCTAGTGTATTGTATGAGCAAGTTTACAGTTACCATTAACTTGATCATGGCTACTCAAGGCTGGTGCCCACATAACTCCACTGCAGTGAGACCCAATATACTGCTGGTGGCTAAAATTCAGCATAGGCACCCTTTTTTGAGGCACACAGATCAGAGAGGAGATAGGCAGCACAGAAGACAGGCCAGGAAGCAGAAAGCAGAGCCGGCAAGGGAAGGGAATCAGAGTGGCACCTGGGGAAGTTGCAGGGCCAATATGTGGCACACCTACCAAAAATGTTGGCCCCCAGTACACTATACATTGATGTAAAGCTGAAGTAATGTAGTGGTTAATCAGGCCTTACTTAGTAGGGTTTGAATTATGGCTTACTACAAGGATACTAAGGATCCTTTTTCTAGCTGCTACAGACTTGGTCTTCTCTTGGTGATCCCACTTTAGGGAGCTTAAGGTGAGATGATCTAATGATCAATTCTTGCCTGAGCTCCTGTTTAAATCACAAGCCATTAATTTTTCACCCAGTTGATGCTGTATGAAGCCCAATAGCCCAGCAAGAAAGTTAGATAAATCTTAGTAAAATAGCTACAATTCACACCGCTGTTTCACATTTTTATTACTCAGAAATATATATACTGTTATCACCTTGAAACTTAAAGTTTTTAGTAGGGGTGCACTGATGGCAATTTTTGGGGCCAGTACTGATAGCCAATTTTCAAGGAGGTATATCGGCCGATACCAATCCAATTTCCAATACAGCATGGAGAGCTGTGTGCAGCTGGTAAGTTGGTTGTGCTGGAAGGGAAGGGGGTGAGGTAAGAGGCATTGGGGGCGGGGCGGGGACAGATCAAGGCCCTGCAGTGAGGGAGGGAGTGAGGCTGGGGCAGGGGCTGGGGCAGGAGCTGCCCAGTGGGGCAGAGCAGGGCATGAGATGGGGCCGGGCTGGGGTTAGGGCTGTGCCAGGCCATTTCCGGAAGGGCCTGGGCTACACTGCACTTGGGGTGGGCGGTGGCAGCCACCTAAAAATTCCCCATATTCCACCCCCATAACCTCCCCTCCCAGCACTGCCACTGTCAGCCCTCAGTGTAGCCCAGCCCAGCCTACACTGGGAAGAGCCCAGCACAGCCCCAGCCCACAGTGGCATCCTTGCTTCCCCATTCAGATGATGTCAATTGTAATTTTAAATCATTGCTTTCTCATTAATTTGATTTATATTTTTTTTGGGCTAGGAAAGAGTATAAAAAGGGAAATATTTGTGTTTCTTCCAAGTCTAAAGTATGTTTCTGTTACTATAATTTCTGTTAATAAATACTACATTTTTTTTTTTTTTGTACTCTCCTGCTTCATATTTCCAAGGGGTGGGGGAAAAAAAAAACACTAAGTATGGCATAAAGTGTTTTATTTAAAGCCTGGCTAACACTTTATTTGTAGTTGGTTCAGAAATTTTAAGAATCATGGATATATACCAGATTGTTAGGCTTAGCTGTTTATAATAATTCACAACCATTTAAAATCTGAACATTTCTCTGTAGAGTTGAGTATGAAGACAGTTTTGCTCCCCTTTAAAAAAATCTAACCTTTTAAATTCTCATAAATAATGCAATACCATTAATGCAATGCCATTCTAATACCAGTCAAAGTAGCTAAAAAATGGAATTGGGACCACAGTAAGAATTAATACATATTTTATGTCTACCAGAATGTGGCACATTCTTTGTGTTTCGCTATGAATAATGTTGTAATGCCAATTTTAATTTAATTTTATTTTTTGCATAGCACATGCTGATCTGGAAACTATATTTCCAGAAAGACTGCTTACTTTCCTTCATCATTATGAACATGAGCCTGCAATGCGATGCGGCGGCTAGTAAAGCGACCAAAACGCTGGCTTGCATCCATAGATGCTTCTCAAGCAAATCCCAGGACGTCATTCTCCCCCTGTACTCGGCCTTAGTGAGGCCGCAGCTGGAGTACTGTGTCCAGTTTTGGGCTCCACAATTCAAAAAGGATGTGGAGAAGCTTGAGAGAGTCCAGAGAAGAGCCACGCGCATGATCAGAGGTCAGGGAAGCAGACCCTACGATGACAGGCTGAGAGCCCTGGGGCTCTTTAGCCTGGAAAAGCGCAGGCTCAGGGGGGATCTGATGGCCACCTACAAGTTTATCAGGGGTGTCCACCAGCATCTGGGGGAACATTTGTTCACCAGAGCGCCCCAAGGGATGACGAGGTCGAATGGTCACAAACTACTTCAAGATCATTTCAGGCTGGACATAAGGAAGAATTTCTTTACTGTCTGAGCCCCCAAGGTCTGGAACAGCCTGCCACCGGAGGTGGTTCAAGCGCCTTCATTGAACACCTTCAAGATGAAACTGGATGCTTATCTTGCTGGGATCCTATGACCCCAGCTGACTTCCTGCCCTTTGGGCGGGGGGCTGGACTCGATGATCTTCCGAGGTCGCTTCCAGCCCTGATGTCTATGAAATCTATGAAATCAAATGAGTTGAATGATATCCAATTAAAAAGCGTATAAAAATGTTAGTTTGCAGTATATTATAATCAAGAAACATTTAAAAAAATCCTACTTCCTTGAAAGGCATTTTGTAGCCCTCTAATAAGAATTTAAGTCAGAGAACAGCAGTAGAGAGAAAGCTGTTTAAGATAAAGAAGCCAGTAAAGTATTTTGATCAAATACCAAGACAAGAAGGCAGCTCTAAAGCTATGGCAATTCCTTGTCTCAAGGGATGGGATGCTGCTGGCAACTACCCAAAATCTAAGACTTGCGTATTTTGAGGCTCTTTATCCTTCATGTAAAGAAAAGTAATGGAAAAATACTATATGACAGAGCAGCCTGTCAATAAAACTTTCCTACCAAATATTTGGAGAAACATTTTACACTGCCATAATCTGTCCATGTGTTTGCAATCAGTCCCGTAAAGAACGCACATTTGCTCTTCGTGATTTGAACAAAAGAAAAACACATTAGGTACTTTTAAAACCACTATGTTTCCTCTGATTTGATTGCAGGAAACTGCAGGAGAACAGATTCAAAACACTGATAGGGGTACAAATGAAAACAGTCATACAACGTTTGTTTTGTAAAGTCCTAGATCACATGTTTATAGCAAAGGTTATCACAAGGTTTCTAAATATACTATAGGTTTAGAAACCCAGCTGTTTCAAGAATAAAATGATGGGAATGAAAGTTGTCTGTGTTAAAATCCCTAAATGTGGGT